CACCAGCCCGAGACCAGTCGCCACAAGGTAGAGGTCAGACTTGCCTCCACTGTCCATCCTTCATTGCCCTATTCCGATACCAACCGTTCCTCCCACAGCAGTCTGCTTCTGTTTGGGGTTCGATAATCCATTGCATTGGCCACAGAACGCACAGACAGTAGGTACAGTTATTCGAGAAGTTACCGGGTTCCCACAAGCCAGGATCAGAAAACATTCAGAAACAGTCCTTGATCCACAGCAGAACCTCTTTTCAGCCAGACGTCAGTGTCTCTCTGGTCGTCTACCTCTCAGTCCCGCTGTCGCTCGCCCTTTGCCTCTGTGAGCCAGGAGAGGTCCACCTGCCGCACCTGCCCACCCCTGGCCTCAGATGGTGGCTCCTGCACCTGCTTCCTCTCTCTGCAGGCTCCTGTGCTAACTCCACCATGTCAGACACGAGCTCACTGGTGGCTCTTTCTCTCTTCCTCTTTCTGAAATGACTCTTAGACTCAGAGGAATGGTAAAACTGACCGCTTACCGAGTTAGGGTCCTCTGCACCTTATTTGAGTGATCTCACCCAATCTTTTGGTGGGAGTTAGAGAGAAATGAGTAAAAGACCCATATTTAAGCAATTTCCCCTTGACCATAGAAATTTAGTGTTTCTTTTTTCTTACAAATCACAACAAATTAATACTGGCACAACTCCTTAAGATCTAGCAGGAGCCTCCTGACCTTTCTAGACAGGCATTTAATAATTTCTGAATGTTCATTATTCATTACTGGTATAAAGAATAGTATTGCATGATGCTTCCTCTGCCAATTTCAAATGCAACCTAGAGTAATACTATATGAATCATGGGGTTTTGTTGTTGTTACTGTTTTTAAACAGCTTTCCACCTAAGAAGAAAAAAATCAGATGGACTTATTTGTCGTTTTAGTCAACAGAACACCTGTGTGTGTGTGTGTGTGTGTGTGTGTGTGTGTGTGTGTGTGTAAGAGAGAGAGAGAGGAGAAGAACAGGAACACTCACTGGCAGAGAGGCAATTTTATACTATTTCATGGAACATAAAATTCACAGGGGCCACAGAGAATTCTTTGTTGAGAATCCAGACATCATTTTGCCTATCCCATATGTTAATTACACTTTTTAAATATTAGGAAGCATTAAAAGTATAGATAGGATTATAGAGAGCCAAGGGGCATCTGTTAAAAAATTTTTTTTAAATTTAATTTCACATTAAAAGATGGCATTGGTTTTTTGCCCAGCAGTGAACATATGGACTATGTTTCAAGAAAAGCTACATACTACTCTAATGAAATTCAAGAAGTTGTAACAAAAATTTATATGGGTTGTGAAGTGAAATTAGGGGAATTGCTCCCTTCAAATGCAGTGCAACTAGGCAGGGTGAAGCATTAACATGACATAGTATGTTAAGCTTGTTCTTTTGACAAGAGAAAATGTTGTGGACAAACTCACCCTTTCTCGAGAGGAAAAAGTCTTTGGGGAATATATGTGGGGAAAAACCATCATAACTCAATCTACTGAAAAGGGAGAATAAAAACGAATCAATGAAATATTTATGAAGCTGTTAGCTGCTGTGAATCAGCCCCTGGCTCGTGGTTAGCCCAGTGCACAATGAAACGAAGCACTGCCCAGCCATGCAGCGTCCCCGCGATCAGTTGGAGGTTGGACTGTTGTGGTGCTTCGAGCTTTTGTTGGCTGATGTTCACATGTAGGTTGCCAGGAAGCCTCATTTCCCAGTGCATCTTAGCCTGGACTCCCCACTGAAGCCTGGTCAGCTGTAGGTTGTAACTGCTGTGCCGCATTAAGTCAAGTCCACTCCTAGGGACTCAGAGAGAGAACTCCGCTTCACAGCAGAGCACAGACTGGCACTGGCAGGTGGTGGGGACTGTGCTGAGGCCTGTGCCAGGGAATCGCAGGCAAGAATTCTACCACTGAGCCGCCAGTGCCCCTGGAAAATATTGACAACACTCCGTTTCTCTTGACTGGATTCGAAACTTAGTCTTTCCCACTGTGTGTTCTGTCAGTCGTCATCACGGCCTCCGCTCCCATTTAGCATTCTGGACTGCACAAGAAGACCAGTCTCCTCAGATACGAATTTCCTCTTCAAAATGTAGATGCTTTTTAAATATACCTTCCTTCAAGAAGTTTTAAGATAGAAATGTTGAGTAACTCCTGTTGTTGAACTCTCCCTATATTATTCTTTAAAGGCTAACTTTTCATTCTCCGGACATTTTTCTAAATGCATGTTTAATTTTTCTCTGCAATATCATTGATCTACTAAACACTCCTAAATGAGTCCTACGAATGAGAATGTGACTGTTGCAGAACGTGAGGTCATACACTTCACGCAGCCTTTTATTTTTATAAATGGAGAGGCATGAATATTTAACGAGTCTTTGCACAAAGAAAGTAATGAGAACTGTGCTTGTTTCTTCCGTCCCTTTATACTGTCTTTTGGCTCATTGAAAATATCTTGGTTTGCCATAATTTTCATTAATGTACTTAGGACCATGTTTTATTTAAGAGTATAGAATTTCCTATTTAAGGAAAATACTAAATTATAGATTTTTCGTTCCTGCTTCCCTGCTTTTAACAAGTATGAAAAATCAATATTTATTTACCACTTTTTTATTTACAATATACTGATTTTGAAAAGCCTTTGTAAAAATAAATTTTCAAATTATTTGATTATCTTCCTGGTAGGCTTATAAGGAAAGGAAACATTGTTTCATAAGGGTTAGCCAATGAAGTGTCTCTAATTTGTTACAAATTTAATTTTAGCCCAATCAATTGAGCAGCGGCTGATGAAAATGGATCACACAGCAATCCACCCACATCTGCTGGATATGAAAATTGGTCAAGGCAAATATGAGCGAGGATTTTTTCCAAAGTTACAGTCAGATGTCTTGGCAACCGGACCAGCCAATAACAAGTAAGCTTATTGTCTTGAGTAGTTAGTTGAGAGTGATTTAAAAGTGGCATGTTCTGCTTCTTCAGTAGAGCAGCAGTGCTTAACTACGAAGTATCTTCTCTATCTGATTATTCTTTGTACAAACTAGTCCACTCGAAATACGCATTGAAATTCCATGAGCATTTGACTTTTAATTCTGTGGTGAAGAATAATCTAGAGATCTTAATAACTCTTTTTCTGCTAATGTACACTGTTGTCACACTTTAAATGACTGTGTATAGATATAAACCTGAATACTTTATAATAGAAGTTTTACAAGGTAGGTTTTACTATTTTGCACTTATTATCAAGTGCAAAAATTAGAATCTTATTCTTCATCCAAGGAACGCTGGCAATACAGTGGGTTACCCATTAGGGTGATAGTCACAGGGTCACCAGTTCAAACCACCAAGAGCTGTGCATGCAAAGCTGTTGCTCTGTAAAAGGCTTTCTGCTTGGTAAGATCCACAGTCTCAGAAACACAGGGACAGCTCTGTTCTGTGCATTAGGGTCGCTGTGAGTTGCAGTTGACTCAATAGCAGTGGGTTTTTGCGTTTGCCATCCTCATGGTAGATGATGTCATTCAGAAACCATCAGATTCTGGTGTGAACTAAAGATAATACTTGGTTTTAGAGAGTTTCTTGATATTAGAAAAATTACCCCCAAAATTAAGTAATTTGTTAACAAGCGAACAATAAAAACTTGATCTATGAGAAGCAAAGGAGAATATTATTGGGAAATATGGGAAGTTGTGAAGAAAAAGGTTTGAATTGGAAATGAGCAATGCTGGAATTCGATCATTGCTAGCCAATAGCCAGCTCAGGAACATTGGACAAATAGTCACTTAGCTATTTTCCTACCAGAATACTGCATGTGCTTTCACCTTAGACAGCATCTGTGATCTCCTCACTAGGGAGACTCAGAAGGAAAGGGAAAAGGAGCCAGGCAGTAAAAGAGAGAGAGAAAGAAGGAAGGAAGGAAGGGAGGAAGGGGAGGACTGAAGAGACAGGGTACCCAAAATGGAGGAGGCCCCAAGCTCCCTGACTTTTCATAAGCCAAGTAGAGAATCCGAAGAATAAGAGTGTATTTTGCCTTTTGACCCAAGTAAGTAAGGAAACGTTTCCTGGAAGATGTTTCTATCTCCAAATTATTTATTCAATTTTATGGTTGCAGAATTTGGGATACTTACCCCTTTCCTATGTTTGTCATGATTCTTTGCTGAAGAAAAAAAGCAACCATAGTAAATGATCTTTACAATATATGATGGTCATGATCATTTATTTCATCTTTATTTTTTTGTTTTATTAGGGGTTCATACAACTCTTATCACAATCCATGCATACATCAATTGTGTAAAGCACATTTGTACATTCATTGCCCTCATCATTCTCAAATATTTCATCTTTAAAGATAATAAACACTACTAAGCTAAGTATTGTGGATTCCTTACAATACATGTACCTGTGGGAATATTTTTCTTATTAATATCACATTGTTAATAACCTGAAAGGAATGAAAACCTTGCCATTTTCCTGGCTGACTACCTGACGAATGTTTCTGAAATGTGTTAGAATTACTAATTTATTTAGGTCCAAATGTGAGCAAGGTACCGTGATAGACGATACATCAAAAGGAAAAAACTGGTTTGTGTGAGTTAGGGGCAACACTTAACTGCTATTTTGTTTCCTTTTGATATTTATCATTTTAAATCTCCAACACCTTACAGGTCTCAGTTAAAATATCTGTAAATTTTCATCTCTGGTTTATTTTGAGTAGTTACCACCCTCTTTTAGCCCCTTCTTTCTACTTTAAAGTATATTTTAACTGCTCATGGAGGCTCCCGGTGCAAAGAGACAGGTAGTTATGGAGATACTGTTGCTGATAATACCCAAAACCTTACTGCCACTGAGTCGATGCTGACTCGTGGGGAACCCATAGGGTAGATAGAGGCAGACTGCTTCCTAGGATTTCTGACTGGAACAGACAGTTCCATCTTCCTCTCAAGGAGTGGCTGGTGAGTTTGAACCTCTGACCTTATGCTTAGCAGCCTAGTGTGTAACCCACAGCATCACCAGAGCTCCTTGCTGATACTCACTAGCATTAAGCAGATTGTAGGCCAGCTTATCTGCTAATGGCATTAAATAGAATATCTCATTAATTTTGGAAATGAGATTCAGAGAGGCTCAACAACTTCACTAAAATCACAGCTAAGAAATGTTGGAACCAGGATTTAAAGCTACGATTCAGTGACCCAAAACTCTTGTCCATTGCTCTACATATACTGTCTGGCTCTGTCACTCCAGTACATATAAGTATAATTTCAGAGTAGAAATTTGCTTGGAAGGCCCCCACCCCCACCCCAAGAATTTGAAGAACATAAAACATTGAAATAAGGCCATTTGACACTTACTTGTTTTTCAAACCAGTCTAATGAAGTCCTTCCAGAATGGGAGAACCCTCAGATGTATCTCACTTCTGCCTGAAAGCAGGCTCTGTTAGAGGAGACTTGAACATTGAATAGTATTTTGGGAAGCAGGATCGATAGTCTCTGGAATCTTCTTCCCTCTTGAAGCTGTGGTTGAGATCAAACAGCCTCCCTTGAAGATGGTGTGCACGGTTCGACATCAGAGACATGACTTGTGTCAGAGCTGGGATTGGAACCCAAGACTCCTTACCCGGATAGAATGATCTCTCACAGTGTGCCATTTACAGAGAGCCTTGGGAGTTCTGTATCAGCATCCTTGTAAATATTGGGAAAGGGACACTGTACAGTAAGAATTACAGATTAAAAAAAAAAACGTTTTGTTTCACTCTTTGACTGAAATAGACTGTGTCAAGGACAGTGTATATGGAGAATGAGTCACTACAAAGGTGAGAGAATTCTATATTTAAAGAAATGTTCTGATCTTGTACGTAATACAAGTGTTGGTATTGCTGTCTTGGAGAGGAAGGCTATTAGAATTTAATATGCTGCTGACAAGACAGAAAGAAATAGCTAAGAACTAAATTTTTTTACTTAAATTACCTTAATTAATTTATAAAGCTTAATCCTTCAGTGAAGAATTTTCACTGCTTTTACAAACAGTGAACTTCAAAGTGTGCTAAAAGATGTTGACCACTGTGTGGATTCACATTTTCCTATGATACAAGATTCAATGTTCTGTTCTTTAAAAGTGGGTGAGATTTTCCGTCCCAAAGGATTTTCCATCCATTATTAATATTTGTAACATCTTAATTATTTGAATCACATTGATGTGAGTAAACTATTAAATTTTATAGTTTTAATTTCCTCTTGATAGTATTACATTGCTTATTCATTCACTTGGCAAGTATTTATGGAACTCCTGCTATATTGATAGGCAGTCTCGTCCTCACTAAGGAGCCCTGGTGGCGCTGTCAGGTGAGCGTTGGACTGCTAACTTCAAGATTGGTAGTTCAAACCCACAGACTACCCCTTGGAAGGATTGTGAGACTATCTGCTCCCATAAAGACGTACAGCTTTGGAACCCTGTTTAGTGTTGTCAGACATTGGAATGGACTTGCTAGCAGGAGGTTTGGGCTTTTGCACTATTCGCTGGCAGATTAGCCATGAATACAACAGTAAAAACTCTGCTTTCAGGTGTAAGGAAACAATCGAGAAACTTACTGTGTAAAGTAATTAGCATGTCAGATAGTGAAAATTTAGAAATACATATAAACCAGATACTGGAAGTAGGGAATGCTTGTTGTCGTTAGTTGCCACCCAGTGGACTGACTAATGGTGACCCCTGGTGTGAACTGCCCCTTAGGGTTTTCAAGGTTCTGACCTTTCAGAAGGAGATTGCCAGGTGTGTCTTGCAGGGCATCTGGGTGAGTTTAAACTTGACACTGTTGGCTGTTAGTCCAACCTTTAACCATTTGTCCTACCAACAGACTCGTAGAGAGATTTCAGCAATAAAAATATGTCTGCTGTGTTATCTTGCTTTTAACCAAGGTTTCCTCCCTTTTCTACACTGAGCCTCAAATAATGCATTTTTCAGGTAAATGGTAGTCTGAAAGAGAAAAGATATCAGAACTAATTGCAATGTAAAGAGCTTTATAGCTAACCATGGTTATCAGCTTATATAAATTGGTGACCAACTATTACAGAGAATTTAAATGCTGCTTACGAAGGAGAAAGAAATTCAGATCATCTTTGGTAAAATTATGTTCTGTTAGTAAGACTTAAAGCAACCAAACCAACCAAACTCACTGCGAGAGTCGATTCTGACTCAGAGCGTCCCGGTGGGGTAGGATAGAACTACCCCCATGGGCTTCCAAGACTGTAACTCAGCCTCACTTTTCTCCCATAGAATGGCTGGTGGTTTCAAACTGCTGACCTTGCAGTTAGCAGCCCAAAGCATAACCCCCCATACCACCAGGACTCCATTTAGTAATGCAAAGAATAGATTAATTATGTAACAAGACAAGAATGTATGCCCTTAAACATGTGCTTACTGTTTTATTTTTTAAATAAATAGGGCATTTTTCCCCATGGAGTATGTATATTGTTGTTGTTACTGTTCTTAAATGTCATCAAGCAGGTTCTGTGAACAGCAGAACGAAAGAGTTGCCCCATCTAGACTGTTGTCATGTTGGGCCCATAGTTGGAGCCACTGTCAGTCGAGCTCATGGAGTCTGTCTCTTTCCCTGAACGTTTAGAGAGTTGTTAATTATTTTATGTATATGAGGGGGCTTTAAGAAAATCACGGGAAATATCCCTTGTCTTTTAATTCTATTTTCCAAACTTCTTGAAGCCTCCTCATTATTATCCTTGTCTTTTCCCTGAAGCCTTTTCCATTTATGCATGCCAAGGAAATGTCCTGCCATTTACCTTCAACTCTTCCCTTGATTATATTAGCTATATTAACTGTCTATTAGCTATATATATTAGTATATTATTATTTTATTACATAATTTATATTATTATTATATATTAGCTATATAACGATATAATCTACTTCATATATTTACTGTGTATTTAGATTGGCCTACGTAGTAACCCTAATTTTTAAAATCCCTTTTACAGACTCACGCTGACCTTTATTGTTATTAGCTGGAGTTTTTTTCTGGGTCCTTTATCAGCCCCCCAGTGTTATTTGTATCCTTCCTGTAGTCTGAAGTTGAGCTGCTCTACAAACATTCCCAGTAGTTTTACTTTAAAAACCTATAACTAGGCCTTTGCACAGTTTGTTTTTAATCTGTTTTTTGAAAACTGTTTTAAAAAGGAGCTGTCGTCCTCATTGCCATGTTTAATCATTATTAGTATGCCACTAAATAGCAGGCTACCATGACATGATTTAGAAACCTGAGACCAAAGACATACATAAATCATTTTTCAAGTAGCAAAAGAAGCAGTTTTCATTTTAAGCATTTTGTAAACTAGATACTCTATAAATACAAAAAATACAATATTGTTGTTAGTAACATAATAATGACCTTTATACATTTTATTTGTTGTTTTATAAAACTGTTTTCTTGTTATTATGTGCCTTTGAGTTGATTGGACTCAGGAATCCCATAACACAGAGAACTGCCCCATTCAATTTCCTAAGCCAACCTGTTCATAGGAGCTGGTTCCCAAGTCTTTTTTGCATACCGAAGGACTGGTAGGTCCAAACCGCTGACATTTCAGGTAGCAGCCAAGCACTTAACAACTGCACAACCACCAGGGCCCTTTCCTCTTACCCTCCCTCCCCCACCCCCAAGTTCATCCATTTTTATGTGAAGCTGTGCATAGCAAAGTGTACGCCGGTTCACGTTGTGCAAGCATCCACACCCTCCTTTCCAGAGCTGCTCTAAACTCACTGCTCTTGAAGATTTCTATCAAACACTTTTGAGTCGCTCTTTTGAATTTGATTCCATATACATAGCTCTTAAAAGAGTATAACACAAAATGCAGACTTTTTTTTTTTTTAAACTGGCTATGTTAAACTTTTATTTGGTTTTAAGATGACTTCAAGGAATGCTTTTGGTTACAGGCTTAAAAATTAACCCAGGGCAATAGTTTCAGGGGTTCGTTTATCCTCCATCGCTGTACAAAGTCTGGATTCCCTGAGAATTTTAAATTCTGTTCTAAATGTCCTCTTTTGATCAAGATTCTTCTATGGGATCTTTGATCACAGTGTTCAGTGATGGTATCCAGCCAGGCATCATCCACTTTTTCTGATCTTGTGGCAAAGGAGGCCATTGCTGCTGGAGGCAAATTAGCTGCACTCCCCTCTCCTCCTGATCTGGACTCACCTTCCACTTCTGGGGCTCCAGGAGAGTCGAGGGCAGTTGGTGTGCCTTAGGTGGCTCCTTGCAAGTTTCTTAGACTCCAGACCCTGTGCAATGAATTAGGACTAGAACCGCTACATTTAGTAGTTAACAGGCTATGACACTAAATCTCCAAACCAAGAAACCAAATTTCATGAAGGGTTTGATTGTACAGTAATAAGCAGACACGGCAGCTTTTTTTTTTTTTTAGTTGGGGCTTGTAAACCTGTCACTCAAACTTTTGTCAATTCAACATTTTAAAAAATTTGAGCTATCATGAATATATCATACAGTCAAATAATTCAGCCATATCAAGAAGGGTTGTGCAATCAACACCATGATCGACTCTGGAACCTGTTCTTTCTGCTTGTACCCATTAACAATGACTCATCATGTCCTCCCCCTCCCCCTGCCGTGCCCCTGCAGTCATCAATCAATCCAGCTACTGTCTGTATCAATTGCCCCCGCCTGGTTCCCTGCTTCCCTGTGCAGATACACAGCAAACCAGGATCAGCAACAGTGGCCTTATAAACAGAGAAAGACCTCAATCTGAGCGAAAGCAGAGAATATTATGATGGAGTCGTTCAGGGGACTTAAAGATGAGACTGTCAATCTTAGAAATGCTTAAATACATGAAAAAGAAAAAAATAAGTTGAAAAGTAGGTATTGTCCATATTTTGTATTGACCAGGTCATTCTTTCTGTTTAAGATAGTGACCACGTTTTGTTTGTTTGTCTATTTCCACCTGTCCCCTCTTGGTGCGATTGGCGTTTCAGTCGCTGGGTAAGTCGGAGTGCCACCACACAGCGCAGGAAAGAACGCCTTCGCCAGCAGTCTGAGCACATTGGACTAGACAACGACATGAGGGAGGTATGTGGGCCACCCCCGGACGCCTGGATGCCGAGAGCCGTCAGCAAGGCTCATCTATGGGGCTTCCCTGGTGTTCTTCAACAGATAAGCTCAGTTACATTTTAGAATGTGAATCGTTTGCAGCTAACAGCAGAAAACACTGGGGTTGTTTTTCCTAAAAAAAAATGTAATTTCAATACATCTAAAAACAAGGATCTAAATCAAGTACCTCTGTGTACCACATCAAATCTCAGGTAAATAGTCTGTCAGTGTGTCATTTTAACATTGACATCAGTCTGTTAGTAAATTCATCAGGTTTAAATTGTGCTTCTAGCTTAAGACTGTCTATGACTCATGCAGATATATTTACCTGTGCTCTCTCTCCTTGACTTTTTGACACCACTTTTTAAAGTGTTTTAAAATTTTGTTTTTAAGTTAAGATTCTTATGCTTTATTTGTACTATTTCAAAATAAAACCGTCATTACACATTTGAATACTCATAAGTTTTCACTGTTTATATTTTTTAAATGCAGTCAAAAGATGTGTTAACTATTTAGTAAACTCAAATGTGTAGAAATAAAGCACAAAACATCATTCCAGATATTGATTGCTTTTTGTTAGCATGTTTATAATTTTGAGCATTTCCCTAAGAACTGAAGCATAACAAGTGCAGTGCTCTTTTGCGTGTGTGCTTCCATTTTCAACCCCCTCATTTTTTTTCCTGTATTGTTATCATGTGCATGCTTGTTTTGCTTGTTTCTTTTCTCCCTCCTCCCCCCTTTCTTTCTTTCTTTCTTTTTTTCTTTTTTTTTTGCCTTCCTGTCATTGGCACGTCTCCATCCTCTTAGCCTTCTGGGAAACTTTTGGTCTGTCAGAACTCCATGGCATTCTGGGAGTGGGATCAGGGTCCACCTCCACCTGCACGACTTCCTAAAAAATCCTTCTCTGAGTGCTGCCTGGTATGTTCGTTGCCTGAAAGTGCTTTGCCAGATGTGCCCAAATCTTGTCTTTGGTGTGGCTTGACTTTCACACTTGAGTGAGTATCCATAGCTCTAGAATGCCTCACATCACCTTGTGACGTGAATTCTCAGCCTCTCCGTGACTCCGCTTCCTCTTGTGTTTGGTTCCTGTTTGTGGTGATGTGTGCTAATAAAAGGGAGGGCAAGGGGGAGTAAAACGTTTTGAAGAAGAGATTCGTCTTCAAATAACTTCTCTTTTGCTAGGTTTTATCTCCACAACATTTTAATTTATTGTTCTAAGTCTGTTTCATGTGATCAGAAAATCTAGTCCTCCACCATAGACTCTTGGTGCTCAGAGGAACAGTAATGGTCATCTTGTCCAACTCGACATGACGTAACTAAAAGTACAAGGGACTTGGCCATATTTGAACAGACACATAAGAGTGGAATTGAACCTAGAGCCCAGACTCCTGCCTTCCAGGCCTGCACTCTTCCCACCAAACTTACTTATCAGGTTGCACTAAATACCATTTACCTGAGGCAAGACTAGCTTAGGACTCTTGCTTGTACATTTTTTTCCCCCATGAAGACACATTAGCTTAAATTTACTTGACTTGATGGTTTTTCGTCATTAGTCAGCCCCAGTTAAAGGAATGAGGCAACTTATGGAGAGCCTGGTGTTAAAGAATTTAATCCAGGACATACTGAATGATGGGATATCTGAAGTTACTCTCCTCAACAGAGAAGTAGACATTATTATAAAAATATCCCCTGTGGAACATTTGTCATCTTTATAGTAGTTTGTCTCTTAAACACCAAGAACACATGGTTAAGCATTCAGCTACTCCCTGAAAGGCTGGTTGGTCAGACTTACCCCAGAGATCCCCAGGAGATCTCGTGGGACATTTCTGTTGTCACATGGGATAGCAGTGAGTCAGAATCGACTTGATGGCATCCGGCAGCAGCCTCTAAATATTGTCCTAAAATACTTGGACTATTTGAAAATTCTGCCCTGTGGTCCTGATGTCAGCATCTAGGCAGACTTTAATAGGTAACGTAGGAAGAAGAGAGTGCCTTTGTCCAGAACTAGTCACTCGGGCTGATTTTGTTTTGCTTTTCTGGAAGTTAGCTAACCGGAGCGAGCATTGCCTGGCTTTCTGTAGTCCATTGAGAGGTACTACCAACTCTACCAGCTGTAGTGTGGGTCTACTTTGTCTCCTGATTGGTAAAAAGCAAAGGAGGCGACCCTGTAACACGAGCAAGTGGCCTCCCGCATTTGGAGCACATCTGGTCTTCAGGAGGTGGGAGGCATGTATTATGCCCGTCTTACAAATAAGCCGCACTGCACAGAGGTTAGCTGATACGCTCGGCTCACAAAACTAATTGTAACCAGATCCTGGAACTAGTACATTTTTCTGGTTTTGCTATTGTAACTTGACTAGAGAAAAGGTCTGGGTTGGAGATTACTACCCGAAGAGGCTAGAAGTACCGGTACATTGAGTCTCTTGAGGAGTGGCAGAAACCGGGGATCAGAGAACCACAGCGTCTCCGCCGAACCTTCAACTAGTAACCCAGACACCGAAATGTTTTCATCCCAACCATGGCCCTGACTAAACACAATCCTGAGTATTTCCAACCAAAAGCCTAAACTAGAGGAAGCTGCATTTGAATATTAACTGTAAATATGCCGTGTACTTTAAAGCAGTTACACTCTATCTCATTTTGAACGAGAGCTAACCTGGTGAGGTTGTTTTCACTCTCACTTTAACAAGGGGGTTAACAGAGGGAGAGAAGGGAGTGTGCATGTCCTCGGCCTTTGATACACTAAAGCTTTAACTGTTGTACATTGACACTGATGCTTCCTTTTATTGCACCTTGTCTTATTCCTGCACTTGTTTGTATAAGGTTAAATTGATAAGACGATCTGGTATGTATATATGAAAAATGCTCTTTAATTTTTAGAAATATATGCAAGAGGCACGGAGTTTAGGGAAGAACCTGAGACAACCCAAATTGTCAGACCTCTCTCCAGCAGTGATTGCACAGACCAACTGGAAGTTTGTGGAAGGTTTATTAAAAGAATGTAGAATGAAGGTATGTATTACCAACGCGAGGTGGGTACATTGATGTTCACATCAGGTGAGGCTAAGATGAGCATGTGACATAGACTTATTGAGCTCCTTATTGAGCTCAGGAACTGGAGAGTCGGGGACATGAGAGCCTTGCACAGATTTTCTCCCCTTTTCAACCATGGTTCCCTCGTGTCCAACATGAGCAGATATTGGTCATAGGCTGTGTCAAGAATTTTTTCATCCTATATGAAAGACTGCACAAATTTTGTGTGTTTGTGCATGTCTTAGTCATCTAGTGCTGTTATAACAGAAATAGTACCGGTGGATGACTTTAACCAGAACCACTTTACTTTCTCACATTTTAGGAGGCGTTAAGTCTGGACTCAGGTGCCAGCTCTAGGGGAAGGCTTTCTGTCACCTCTGGGAGAAGATCCTTGTCTCCTTTCAACATTGCCCAATGTTTTGTTTTGTTTTTTAAACTCCATATGTTTTCACATCATTCTTCCCCTGAGTCTAAGGGGTTCTCAGCACAGGGACCCCAGGTCCAAAATATATGCTCCCTCCCCAACTCTTCTTTCTTGGTGATATTAGGTCCCTCCTCCCTCCTCATTTCTCTTTTATCTCTTGGGTAATAAAAGTTGTTACTCATGCAAGGATGTGGCTTGAGTCAGGGTAGCGACTTGAGTAAGAGTGGGACTTACAACCCAGCCTAGTCCTGTCGCATTCATAGAGAGAGAGGGTAAGATTTATAACACATGTCACAAAGTGTAGGATAATTTCATCAGATCAATGGCACTAACCCCACAATACTGGGAATCATGATTCAGTCAAGTGGACACATATTTTGGGGGGACACAATTTAATCTATGGTAGTGTACCTATGTGCAGCCTCCTCTCTGCCCATACATTCAACAGCATACCTACAGGCTAGCTATGCTATATGCTTGTGTGTATTGCACAGATATTTATGTTTAATGGAGGTAGCATTAGAAATTAACAAAACTTGAACAATCATGTTAGCCAAGAACTTCCATTATTTATCTGACCATAATTGCTTGTGTACCTTCTCTACATAGCCAAAAAATGAACTTAGCTCAAATATTTCTAGCACGTTACGATGCTGAGGGCAGTGGGAAGCCAGAATTACGTTGACCAGATAGGTTCTAGATTCTGACAGTGTATGTTCTATGCGTGGCTTTTTGTGTCTAGTCAAGCTAGTAAGTAATCTGAACATTGTTGTACTGATTGTTTTTCAACATGAGGAGGTGCTTGAAAATAGTATCTTATTCTCTCCTGATTGACCTTCTGTTTGTCTGACAAAATAGTGAAAGTATACATGCTACTATAGATCCAGTTAGTTGACTAGAGAGATTAAGACAATTGTCCCAGGGTGACTAAAAGTCTGCAGTTAGAAATAGAACGACGGTCCGGGAACCCAAGAGGAAAGCGAATTTTGGGAATAGTGAGGGCAACAAATGTATAGATGTGCTTTACACAATTGATCTATGTATTGTGATGAATTGTATGAGCCCCAATAAATTTATTAAAATTAATTAATTAAAAAAAGAAATAGAATGACGGGGTGTCATGTCTCCTAATCCAGTAATTGGCATTTGCGTTTTTGGTTTCACCACTGGAGTGACCACCTGTGATGCTTTCAGACAAAACGTATGTTGGTGGAGAAGATGGGACACGAGGCAGTGGAACTGGGTCACGGAGAAGCAAACATAACCGGTTTGGAGGAGAACACTTTGATTGCCAGCCTCTGTGACCTGCTGGAAAGGCTCTGGAGCCACGGCTTGCAGATCAAGCAGGTAACCCACTTGAGACGCCTGTGACCCGACCAGTTAGAATGCCTGCTATGAAATGTGACGAGGAGAAAGGGTATCACCAGAAGAAAAGATAGAGAAATCAGAGTTGGTATTCCTTAGTCATAGGGGGACTAGGATTGTGCAACAGGGATTTACTTCCAGAGAGCGGAAATGGGACCTGTGACCAAGAAGTGGTTTGGAGTCTTTGCTGAGAAACACAAGAAAGAGGAAAATAGCACGTTCATTGCAGAGGTGGAATCCCCTACAAGTTTAAGAAGCACACCTACTGCCACTGCCTCTGACAGTTACCTGTGGTCAGTGGTGGATTTAAGTAACTCAACACCCGACTCGCTGCTGTAATGACCTCATCGCTGCCACTGTGACTCCTATGTCCCTGTAGGGCTGAGCCAGAGTGCTCCTATGGGTTTCGGAGACGGAAACAGACCCGTCACTTCCTTCTCCAGGGCAGCTCCTGGTGGCTTCGAACTGCCAGCCTTTTTGTTAGCAGCCCAGTGTTTAGCCTGCTGCACCATCAGGCTCCTCATTTTCCCCAGCAGGTTCCACTAAATGTCTTTGGTCACTGTCCAGGGAAAATTAACTGTCCAGCTAGAATTAATAATTATTTCACACAACCATATTTCAGGGTGGAAAAATCCAAATGGCTTCGTTTCTTTTTACTCTGGCCTCCCTTTCTGATTTTGTTTCCCTCTGTTAATGCTCATTTTCCTTTATTCCTTCTCTTGTCTCTTTTCCTTGCACCTTAGTTTTCTTCTTCCCATTTTGTTATTCCACATATCCAAACATATTTGCCAATGGATGCAGACAAAGCACAATCTGAGTTGTTAGAGCTTTTTGATTCCATGGTGGGTAATGTCGCTGTTGCACAGAGCCCTGAGGTAGAGTGTAGTGCCTGCTCACGGACCTTTTGGCTTAACTGTTCTCCTCCGCCAGACTGTTGCCTGTCTTCTCAGTCAGGCAGAGGATGACCTTCATAGCACCTGGAATAAGGCACTTGGAATATCACAGTCGATGAGCCTGCTAAATGGCCATCTTAATTTAGTTTTTCCAGTTTTGGTAAAACTCTATGTAACAGCATTGATCATTTTAACAGTTCTCACGAGTACAGTGCAGTGGCACTAATAAAGCTCCAGAGGTTTCCCTGCAGCTCCCGCAGAAGTTCAGTGTCCCCTGAACGTTACACTGCCTCCCTCCCACCTGCTCTGGATACCCACTGATAAACTTTGGTCTCTGTACATTCTCCTGCTGTAGATATTTTATGTGAGACCATTTGAGGGGGCTTCAAAAAAGTTTGGGGGGAAAACAATTAAATTGTAATGGAACATTTTCTACAAACCTTTTGAAGCCCTCCTGGTATCTTTGTTGTCTTGTGGCTGATTTATTTCACTCAGGAATGCTTCTAAGTTTCATCGATGTCATAGCATGTTTCAGGACTTCATCTCTATTGTACGTATTGAATATCTTTTGTTTATCCATTCTTCTGTTGTACATTTAGGCTGTTTCTGCCTTTTGATTATCAGTAGTGCTGCAGTGAACAGTGTGTGTAATGTAAATGGTTTTGATGAGGATTTATTTTTGATGAATCATTTGTTACAAAATGAAGACTTTCATGTACCTTTTACTTTCAGGGGAAGTCAGCGCTGTGGTCACATTTAATTCAGTTTCAGGACAGAGAAGAGAAACAAGAACACCTTGCAGAATCGCCAGGTGAGAGCCCATTGGTGTGATAACTGGTGGCATTGGGCCAAATAAAGCAACAGTGCCCTAGTCTGTCTGTCAGTCTGACTCACTGAACTCCCTCAACCTAAAATATGATTTATTAGCTGTGAAATCTGGGGACAGTCACGTAACCTTTCTGAACTTCACTATGCAAGTGCATATTGCTTTCACCAATTTTAGAATATATTGTGTGCCTTTTTTTTTCTTAAAGAAAATTTTCATGGCCACCATTAATAATCTTTCATATATGTATATATCTCTAAAAATTACGAGTCATATTTCTTCCATTTACAGACAACACCACATGTTACACGTCATAATTCTTTAGTGTTGTATCCTTTTTTCTAAAATAGTTTTATTAGGGGCTCATAAACTCTTATCACAAGCCATACATACATCAGTTGTTCAAAGCACATTTGTACATTCATTGCCCTCATCATTCTGAAAACATTTGCTCTCCACTTAAGCCCCTGGCATCAGGTCCTCATTTTTCCCTTCCCTCCCCACTGCCCCCTCCCTCATGAACCCTTGATAATTTATAAATTATTATTTTGTTATATCTTGCCCTGTCTGGCATCTCTGTTCACCCAGTTTTCTGTTGTCTGTCCCCCAGGGAGGAGGTCACATGTAGATCCTTGTCATTGGTTCCCCCTTTCCAACCCACCCTCCCTCTACCCTCCCAGTATCGCCACTCACACCACTGGTCCTGAAGGGATCATCTGCCCTGGATTCCGTGTGTTTCCAGTTCCTATCTGTACCAGTGTACATCCTCAGGTCTAGCCAGACTTACAAGGTAGAATTCGGATGATGATAGTGTGTGTTTGTGGGGGTGGGGGGGTCGGGGTAAGCATTTAGGAACTGGAGAAAAGTTGTGTTTTTCATCGTTGCTACATCGCACCCTGACTGGCTCGTCTCAAGTGTTCTATCCTTAAGCTAAATGTTATGCCTACTGTTTAAAACCAGTCTAAATTCTGATTGTATATTTTCCACAGCAAAGAGTTTCTTTTCTCTGTGTGTAGTAACTATTCCACAAAAAGTAGAAGTGACCAGGGAATGCTAATAAAGATAAAATGTTTTATACAGAGTCAGTCATTTGGGACTCTTTTTTGAAAATTGTGAATTGATTTAGACATTCAGAAGGGTATTAAAAATACTATTTTTAAAAGCCATGAGCCAGTTGCCTAGTTGAGAAATAAAGTCCTGCAAATACAGTTTTAAGAACCTTGTACGCTCATCCCCAGCCCCATTCTCCTCCCTTCCCATAGAGGTCAACACTGCCTGAATGAGGTCATTATGGAAGCCATGTTTTTAAATGTGCTTGATGAGACAATAGGAATATGAATTTGGTGCCAAGTTGTCCTGTAGCTCCTCTATGCTCAGTGTCAATGTCTCCTATCCCAGGTTGTTAGGATAGCTGTAAAGATTCAGAGCGACTTTGAAAGCATTCTCTAGTGTTATCTCCCCTACTGAAAAAGTAAAACTACATTGGCTTCTGCCCTAAAACTGTCTCTAATCTGTGATCAGTAGTGGATTCAAGTATAACAACCAATTCGCTGCCGTAATCACCATTTAAGTGTAACAAAATATACCAGAAGGAAGTTTATTATTTCATACAGTTAATTCTTAAATTAGAACAATAAAAGAGGTATACAAAATTAGATTGTTAATAAGAGTTTTAAAATAGTAATGGAAACATTAAATCATATCTGACAAAACCAATAAAATTGTTATTTAAGGTATTTCCATATTGCTGTTGGGCCTCCTCACTTGAAATATTCTTCGCCTTTATCCAAGCTTGTCATATTTTTGCTTAACCATCTTTTCACTGTAAGAGTAGCATCCCATTCCCTTTAGAGGTAGGCCACTTGGACAATAGTCGTTGTGTTTGATACGTTAGGAACAGGCGACTTCTTTCCTCTGAACATATGTCCATCTGTTGAAAAACCGTTTCTGCTTCTGCTGACAGCAATTGTCCTGACAATGTTTTAGCTCCTTACCCTCCAGCATTTCATACTTCACTTACACTGGGGGAATTTGGGACGTCGCACAAAGTTGAAACGAATGCCAGCGCGTCTCCATCCGGTTGTTTGGTACTTTTCCTCTTTACATTGCATGTTTACTTACTGAAGTAACAAGCACAAGCGAATGGAAATAGTATTTCATCAAAGGTATAATGAGTTTTATATTAAATGAACAGATAAATATGACAAGCATAGTTCCGCCTTAATTTTTTATACAGAATGAGCATTACTGTAGGCATTTAGAATACACTGTGTGCAGATGAATGTTAAAATAGAGTAAGGAATTCAAATTTGTGATTTCCACATTGGGCGGCTGCCTGGCCCCACCTTAGGGAGTACCCTGATGACAAGTGCCACGTGAACAACCGGTTCACCAAACTCAACCACAAATTAGGTGTTGGTTCTGCTGAACCGTGCGAACCAGCTGAATCCTACTACTGCCTATGAGCATACCCTGTTTCCCCGAAAATAAGACAGTGTCTTATATTTTTGCTCCCAAAGATGCGCTAGGTCTTATTTTCAGGGGATGTCTTATTTTTCCATGAAGAAGAATACAGTACACATTTGTTGTTTAGTGTTTTATTAAAAGAGACCTTGCACTTCCTGTCTGCTCCGGCTGCGCTGCGGCCAACAGTGAGCTGCGAGGTGGCGCCCACCGCTACAGTCCAGAGTTACGGTAGCTTGGGTGGGGGGGCGGCTTATATTTCAGCGAGAGGCAAAACTGTAAGTAGGTCTTACTTTCGGGAAAACGGTAGATAGATGGGCAGATCAAAAAAAGTTGCAACAAAATCTTAGAGACCTTTATTAAACAAAATAATGATAATGTGGAGCTTTCATGACATAGTCTCTATTTAAGTGTGTACACTTCTTCGGCTTAAAATAGACGTTTGCTGCCTATCTAGAGGGATAGGTCGTATAAATAATGTTCTAACACTTCTGGAGTTTTCATTTCTCTTCTCTGAATTCTGTGCTCTTGGATTTACATCACATTAAAACATCAGCTTGGGCATCCTCAAGGGACTCAAATCATGTTCCTTTTCAATATTCTTTGAGTTTGGAGAAGAAAAAGAAATCCAAAGGGGCAAGATCAAGGCTGTAGTACTAAAGAAACACACAACTTTCCTCTAGTTCTTTAATGCTTCCTCCCCCCCACTAACATGACCCCAGTTCTACCTTACAAATCCAGCTAGACCAGAGCATGTACACTGGTACAGGTAAGAGCTCTAACACAGGAAACCCAGGACAGATAAACCCCACAGGACCAATAATGAGAGTAGCGATACCACAAGGGTAGTGGGGAGAAAAGGGGGACCGATCACAGTGATCTACATATAACCCCCCGCCCCAGTGGGGTGGGGGATGAGCAACAGAAACATGGGTGAAGGGAGACAGCAGTCCATGTAAGATATGAAAATAATTTATAAGTTATCAAGGGTTCATGGAGGAGGAGGAACAGGAAGACAAGGGAAAAAATGAGCTGATACCAAGGGCTCAAGTAGAAAGAAAATATTTTGAAAAGGATAATGGCAACATATGTACAAATGTGCTTGACACAATGGATGGATAGATTGTTAAAAGAGCCCCCAATAAAACTATTGTATAAAAATATATATATTTGATAATATAATACGTAAAGACCATACAGATATATGAGGGTTAAATATGTATGAAGTTTAAAAATGAAATATTCTTGATCAGTGATACTGTGTTCTAACAACACAAAAATTAGCAGTCCATTGACTTTCTGCTTTCCCTCCCGAAAGAATACTTTTCTGTTTCCCAACTAAGCTTCTCAGGCAATAAGCAGTATGTGTTACTGTGTGAAGGGAAGCTCCTCGCGGAGTCACAGCGGGTCTGAACACTGCTCTGATTAGCCTTGAGCCCAAATGAGACAACTTGGTAGTGGGTCGGTGCTGCTCTGCTTGACAGCCTCGCTTATCAGGAGTCATGGTCATTTAAGCTCTTCAGAGGAATGGGAAGGGCTGTCTCAGCAGAAGGGGGAGGGGGGCCGGAAACTGTCCACTGGCGGTGCCGTGGGTTACATGTGGGACTGCTAACCGCAAGGCCAGTAGTTCAAACGCACAGCTCCTCTGCACGGATAATTCACTGCCTCAGAAACCCACGGGGGTGGGGGGTGGGGGGTTCTACTTCGTCCTGTGGAGTTGTTATGAGTCAAAATCGACTCGATGGCAGTGAGGGTTTTTTGTTTTTGTTTTTTCAGCTTTACCTAGTAATTTGAAATTCTGTTTCAAAGAAAAAATGTTAATGCTGTTAGTCTTAGAAAAAATAATTCTCAAGATCTGTCACCAAATTTTCTTTTAGAAATGTTGGCGTAAAGAAACTTAAACATAAGCCTTGTTCTTAAACCTTTTACTGAACTTTAAATGGATGTTTAAATCAGGTGGTGGGAGATAGGAGTAAGGGAAAGAGCTGGAAATGCTCTTCATACATGGTTATGGTGGCTCTAACCTTAGAGTTTGGGGTCACTCTTATCAAACTTTTTCTGTTAATTACTTGCCTGTGTAATTATAGACTGTGTACAATTCTATAAAAATAGATCAATAGTCTGCTCTCTATAAGCTTACTGACAGGAGCGTTGATTCAAGAGATATGAAAATGGGATTCCTGAGGCTAAATATTAAATATAAATCTTGACAATGAAGGAGAATCAATTAGTAGTGGTACATGGAGAAATACTTAAGTTGTCAAGGATTTCATTTTTGCTTATATCTTCAATCAATACTCATGGAAGCAGCGGTCTTATTGCATTGGGCAAATCTGCTGCACAAGACCTCTTTTAAAGTATTGAAGAACAAGGACGTCATGTTGAAGACTAAGGTGAGACCGACCAGGCCATGGAATTATCAGTTGCCTCATGTACGTAAAAGTTGGGCAATGAGTAAGGAAGACCACAAAAGAATTGGTGCATTTGACTTACGGTGTTGATGAAAGAAGATGGAAAGTACT